TAAGCTTTTAAGATTCCAGTTGCTACTCGCCAAAGCAGGATGTGGAACAATGTTTTTGTGTAGTATGTTATGCCAGTTGAGCTTGATGTCCCCTGGGACTATGGTCCTGAGCCCACAAATCCAACTACTTGCTCGCTCTGGGTACCTGGCGGTGGCCAAGAAGTGACTACAATCTTGTCCCTTGTCAGCTCTACTACATACCTGGGAATTCTTACAGAACACATAAATACCCTTGTAGAAACCTTGTCTGCCAACCCTATACATGGTCATGGGCACACTCCCCTCTGCATAGACATACCTGATTGTTCAGCCTGTCCACCCATCTATCCACCCGTATACCCATGTTTGCCTTCACTGACAACAGAGTACTGTATGTGCAAAAGGATTCATCTTTGTTGTTTATCTCCCATGCACCTCTCTGTATCTTCCTCTTCCTCAATGCCACGGTGTTGATCATTCACATTTGGTACATTGCCCTTCTCTTCAGCCAAATCAGTACTTATCTCTTACCTATCTAACAGTGTTCCCTCCTCTCCCCTTCTACCCCTGGTAACCAGCAAAGAAAATTTCCTTCCATATATAAACCTTTCCTTGACTTTTACAATAACAGACTAATACAATGTTTGTCCTTCTGTGATTGACTTATTTCACTCAGCATAATGCCCTCCAAGTTTATCCACATTATGTGGTGTTTTGCAGATTCTACATTATTCTTTAGGGTTGCATCGTATTCCATTGTGTGTATGTACCATAGTTTGGTTACACATTCCTCAGTTGATGGACATCTAGGTTGCTTCCATCTTTTTTCAGCATGATGTTTTTGAGGTTCATCTGTACATTGTGAGTTCCTTTGGATTGCTTTTATGAGTGTTTTTGGGGAAACAGCTTAGCACTTGACCTGTGAGGTCAGTCGGTAATGTAACTAGGGAGTTGAGGTTTGCCCCTCCCATATAAGGGAAAAGGAGACAGCAATGCAAAAGCTGTCTTGGTCTTTATAATATGATTTTAAAATTTTTGTCAAAACTCGTGTTTGAATCATGAGAGAGGGAAGGGCTGCTTATGCATAGGGAGACAGCTCAGGGGGCAGGAGAGTAGGGAGGGATGGACGCTGGGAAGAGGTAACTATGGGAAGGAAGTGGGAGGGGAGCTGTTGCATTGTGGTAAACTGTGGTCAATGACATGAGACAAAGTATATGTGAACTGCTGTATGGAAAGTGAATTTGCTCTGTAAACCTTCACCCAAATAAAAAAAAAAAAAAACAAGCTCGTGTTTGCATTGAAATGTATCTTTGGTGCTAAAGCTATCCTGGCTGTGCGATCTCTGTCTCGGCAGCTCGGCCTCTGTCTCTCCCCCAGCTCGTGTTTGCATTGAAATGTATCTTTGGCGCTAAAGCTATCCTGGCTGTGTGGATCTCTGTCTCGGCAGCTCGGTTGCTGTCTCTTCCCCAGCCCCAGAGGGTGCTCGACGTTGTTCACATCCTGGTTTGTCACCACGAGAGAGCCTCCTGCGTGGCTCTGCTGCCAGGTCCCCGGTGTTCAGTGGAGCGCTGCTGAGTGTGTGAAGGGCTGTTTGGAGGCTCGCGGGCGGCCTGAGCTCATGTCGCGTTGGCCGTGTTGAGTCTATATTGTGGTGATGTACTCCGTACACTTTGAGATCGGAAGTGGAGGATCAAGACTGCTCTGGACAACTGGAGTCAGGAATGAGGGAGCGAGGGAGAGAATCCTGCCGGCTCGACCTGTGTTCATCTCTTCCTCCTTGGAGTGTGTTGGCACGTGGCTGCGTACGAGATTTGCTCAAGGTTGATGGCAGCTTAGCGCAACTGTGCAGCCATTAGCCTCGCGAATCCCTGCCTTGAATTGTTGGCATTTTAAAGAATTATTACAGAAGCAGTCCTCATGCCTTGCAGAAAATTAGCAACTCTAGACAGAAATAAAAACCTCACATTTCCATCCCCACCCCCGAAACCACTGTTCACAGCTCCCTGCCTCGCTTTTCCAGATCTTTTTCTGTGCTTATTTATTTTTGAATTTTTTTTTCAGTTGTAATCTTTGCTTTCCTTTTCAGTGAATGTTTTTCTCATAACACTCAAACCATATTCAAGTTAACCCATTTGACCCCAATATGTTATTTATAAGTGGCCCATCCAAGCTAATGCCTCATTAGAAGATACTGTCTGATCCCTTGAGCTGCGCTCATTGGCCGGAGCGCCTTCCTGTGCCGCTGGCTCGCTGGGAAGGCAGGCCTGCGGTCCTGGCACCTCCTGCTAGTCTGTCTGGTTTCTTCCCTACGGGGCCCTTTAGCTTTTTCCCTGATTCGCAGGTGGTGGAAGCTAGATCTGAAAGCCAAGCGTTCAGGCCAGGTGCCTGCGCTCACTCACAGAGGACGCTCGGCCATGTCAGTCAGTGATGCCGACATCCTGGGTTTCTTCCTCCTGCCATCTGAGGGGGCGGGGACCTGCACGCTCCAAGGCCAGCAGGAAGGCCCCTGTGGCCTTCGGGAGGGCAGACTGCAGACGTGCTGGGGAGTGTGAGGAGGCTGCATGGCATCATAGAAACAGTCAGTTTGCGTTTTTCCAGAAGGAGGGGAGGTGCGATAGAGAGCAGAGTGTGTCTGGATGCAGAGTGTCCTGTGAGCAAACAGGAGTGATAGATAGGGCCCCTTAGGAAACCTTCTGAGAATGCTTGGTGGCCTCTCACTCTCATCAGAAGCACACACTTTACAACACCTGTGCTGAGCGGCGTGCACCTGCAAGATTGGAGGGGGCTGGGCAGCCGGTGGGCTTGATAGAGATGGGGCCTCCTGCCCTCCTGTGTGTGTGTGTGAGTGTGTGTGAGAGAGGAAGAGTGAGCGAGCGTGCATGTGAACACAGTGCTCTTCACCCCCTCAGTCTGATTGCACATCTAGTCAGTGTTACATCAGATGAGAATGTGGGACCAAGCCCCATTGTAACCTTTGCCCAAAGCATTTCTTCATCATTCCCTCCAGAGAGAATGCCCATGAGAGATTAACTGGATCCATAACTGTGTATGTGGCTGGTGACCCTGAGTTCAACTGCAAGGATTGAGGATGCTGTCTGTCTAATGGGAATCATTAGATTAGAAAATGTTTGTGGCTTGGACTTTGTGGAGAACTGGTGTGTGAATGGATGATGTGTCAGTGTGGCTCTGGTTTGGACCATGGCCACCCCTGTGAGTTAGGTAGGACTGCCCCCCATGGTTTGCAGTGGCTGGAGTTTGAAAGTGGACCGCCAGGCCTTGTGAGGTGCCCCTGGGTAGACCCGAGCCTCTAGCCTTTCAGTGAGGAGCTGCTGTGTGGGGGAGTCGACTCAGCAGCACTGTTTGTTGGTTTCTGATTTTGATAGGGATGGGATGTGCGGGAGCTTCATAGGTGACTGGCATTGGTGGCACTGGCGGTGTCCTATAGGAGCTGCATTGGTGACAGTGACAGTGTCCAGCAGGAACTGTATAGATGACTGGTGTTGCTGACATGGTCACATGCGGGAGCTGCGTAGGTGACTGGCATTGGTGACACTAGTGGTATCGTATGGGAGCTGCATCAGTGATGGTGACAGCGTCATGCAGGAGCTGCGTAAGTGACTGGCAAAGCGTAGACTGTAAAGTGCTGTGTTTTCAATAATTAGAACTTTCATATTGGAAAATGGGGATAATTGGCTTCTTAAAAATATATATATAATTGTGTTTTTGGTAAAAGTGTACACCACCAATTAAATTCCCGCGTAACAGTTTCTATACATACTGTTCAGTGACATCAGTACGTTTGTCACATCATATCAACATTCTCATTATTTCCTTCTGGTTGTTTTGTTTCCATTAATCTAGTTTCCCACCCTCCTTACCTTTTCATTTGTGGTTTAGGGATAAATATCGTGTATTTGTGGGGTTTTTTTTTAATGTAAAACTACTGATTCAATTTAAAAGTCCTCATAAATATTTTGGGGGAGGTGAAGAAGGAAAGGAAAGGAAGTGAGGAGAAGGCTGCACGAATATCGGAAATTAAAGAAATAGTCGCGTCACCTAATATTTAAAAATATGGAGGAAATCCAGAAAAAGGTCAAAGTGGCTGCCTTTGTGGTAGGAGACACCCAGGTAGGAAAGACAGGAAGGGACCGACTTAGAAAAACCTCAGTGAAGTCAAGAGAGTTCAACAGAAGATCTCTAATGTTGAGGTCAGAGGTAAGTTTAATGGCATTGGCTACAAACTCAGAAGTTAGTGTCCTGTTGGTGACACCTTGAAGTTGACCTTGCAAAGGACAACACCAGCAGGGGACACTGACATCTTTTCCTGAGTCTGCATGCATGCCACCGCTGCAGCCTGGGCCTGGTGAGGAGTTAGCACTCACACAGCCGTGTCTGCAGCCGGCTTTGTCTCTAATGAAGGCTGTCCTTTGGTTAGTGGCTTAGTCTCAGGGAGCCCCTAGTGTTTCTGTCTGTCTGGCTTTCCCCTGGCGCTGCTTCCCTGTAAGCCTTCGTAATTCTTCTGTGGGGCGTTGATGGCATCTGAAACTGCTGCAGAGAGAGTAGCCATTGAGCCAGAGAGCCGTGAGGAATGATCTGTGTGAGACTGGCCATCACCATGGTAATGGCCAGCTGTATTCCTTTCACACCCATGGCACAAGGACGGGTCATGCAGCAGACGCCTTGGGTGTCACCAGGACTGTGTGGACCGCTTCTCCTCATCCTACATCCTGTTGAAAGCACAAGGGAGGGGGACCAATCATTCATCTTTAGGTGTTGGCTGGAACCCGCTTGTTTTAAGCCAGCCTGGACTCTGGCTTGGAGGGGCTGTCTCCTGAGTGTGGGCCCAGCAGGGAGCTGGGCTGTCAGAGGGGTTTGGTAGCTTGTGTACCATGTGGCATGGTGCCAGTCAGTGCTTACAAACTGAAGTTGGTGCCAGAAGTGCTGGCTGCCTTTTCCTGTTCTTAAGCAGCTGGAAGGGAAGCAGCTTCATTGTTCCTTTCCCACCTTGATTTGCGTTGTAGGTCGGCAGGGGGCCCCTCAGGTCGGAGTGGACACCGGATGGTCGCCTGGAAGAGACATCTCATCGTCTTTGGCGGTTTCCATGAGAGCACGAGGTAGGTAGCGGCTGCAGACAGCTTCCTTCCTGCAGCGCTGGGCAGGCACAGCCTGGCAAGAGCCCTCCTGGGCGCACAGGAAACAGGCCTGCCTCAGGGCCCCACACTCTGAGCACCTGCACTGGGTGTAATTGTTGATCCTCACTGAACACGGAGCACGTTTTCATTTTGCACTGGGTCCCCCAGACTGTGTGGCTGCTTCTCCCTCCTACTGGATTCTGAGACATGGGACTGGCTCGGAATCCTCTGCAGGGCTTGTTCTGTTCTGCTCAGCAGGCCTAGGCTGGCCTGGCCTGGGAGCATGCGTTTCTGCAAGCTCAGTCCTTGCTTAGCAGGCCTGGCCTTGGCTGGCCTGGGTGCATCCAGTCTCGCAAGTTGAGATCCATTCAGCAGGCCTGGGCTGGGCTGGTTTGGGAGCATGTATTCTTGCAAGTTCAGTTCCAGCTCAGCAGGCTTGGGCTGGCCTGGCCTGGAAGCGTGCATTTCTGCAAGCTTGGTCCTGGCTCGGCGGGCCTGGGCTTGGCTGGCCTGGGAGCTTGCATTACCGGAAATTGAGATCCACTGGACGGGCCTGTGCTAGAAGAACTGCCAGTCCACCGCCTGCTGAGGAGGCAGCACCAGCCCCGGCACTATGAGGGGAGCTTGGCACTTCCTTTTGTCTCATGTTCAGATCCTCTGGAGTGGGCTCCAGGGCCAGTTAGCAGGTTCTCAGCTGCGGGCCTGTCACCTAGCTGTGTAAATGCCTACTTTTGTGCCCTGAGTCCTACCCAGAACAAGATGACCGATGTGCATACAATGTCGGGTGCCTGCCGTCACCACAGTGCAGTGATGTTCCAAAGCAGACATCTATGGCTGTTTGCAGCCAGTGAAGCCTGTCTTTAGTGGGTGCCTCCTCCATTGTAGATGGGCAAGGGGAACTGCCCCCTACCCCCTTTAAAGCTCGCTGTGTGATCAGTTTCGTCATTGTGGCTCCATGCACAATCTTGTTATGTTATGAATCCATTTGCACAAATGCTATCTCACACTTCTCAAGTCATTAAAATGTATCCCTGTGCCTGTGTGCAGAAGAAAGCATGGGGTATGGGCCCCACTGCAGGATGTGACCCTCCAGGTGTCCTGCCCACCCTGCCATGCCCCTCTCCTCAGGTCCCCTCTGCTCGGACTCCGTACCCCCCAAGTCCCAGTCTCTTTGGTCAGGCCTCTGAGACATCACCAGTGTCTGGCTTCAGAGGACTCAACCCTGGTGTGTCTTGTGTCATCAGATGTGGTGTCACTATGCTTCCAAGTCCCCAGGGCCGAGCGTCCCTCCTCACCAGCTCTGTCCTGGGTCTCCTGGCACGTCCTGCCAAGCTGTGGATGCCTCCATTCTGACAATTCTGTTACTTCCCTAATTTGCATGTGATTCCACAGTTAATTAAGGAACTGATACACATATTTGCAGGACTGTGACTTTGTAAACTGTTAAAGATATGTTGTTACATTCAGATTACAAGGACTGCAGATTCTGGCTGTGGGCTGGCAGTATTTCTGATTGTCAGATGCAAACACACAGATGCTCATGACCCTTTCACATGAACCCAAACTTTAATTAAACAGGTAACTTCATGAAAACGGTGGGAAATCCTTCTCTCACTCAGGTTAGTCTTTTTGAAGTTGGGTTTATAGCAGCAGCACCTTCTCCTGATTAACTCTTGTCGTAACGGCCTGTGTCCCTTTGTTGTAACCAGAGACTATGTCTACTTCAATGATGTCTACGCCTTTAACTTGGAAACCTTCATGTGGACCAAGCTGTCTCCATCAGGAGTGGGGCCCTGCCCACGGTCTGGCTGCCAGCTCTCTGTCACTGCCCAGGGTGGCATCGTCATCTATGGAGGCTACTCAAAACAGGTAGATGTGGAATTGTCTTTGCGACCTGTCATTCCATTTTGCCAAGAGTGGAAACTTGGCTCTGAGAGTACACACTGGTCTTGGTCGGACAGTTCGCTTTGTTGACTTTTGGGATTGAATTAAAACTTCAGAACCAGCAGAGGCCGTGTGAGGGTGCTGCTCCAGGAACCTCAGTAATGCAGTGTTCTCAACCTGGGTTGCTCAGAACCTCGCCGTGAGAGCAAGTCTGTGTTAGGGTTTATGCCTAGGCTCCAGACAAAAACCACCATGTAGTGTTTATTCCATTGTGTGGACAGACCACAGTTCTGTCTCCATCCATGGCTGGTTTTCTTTGACTGCAGGTACTAAGAGAAGTGTGCTTGTATGGTACTGGGCAAGTGTGCACAGTCTTCTTTGGAGGGAGTGAGAAACCTGCTATGTGCACCTGAACATGGTCCTGAGGCTGGCTGGCTTGGCTGGAGTAGGGAGTCCAGGAGGATGGGGAGAGCACAGAGGGGGAGGACGGGATGTGAGTGACGGGGCACGGGTACTGCAGTCGCTGAACACGATGTGGAACATGGTGTGAGCCGCAAGCCAGGAGTGGTGAGTGGTAGTGCTGGGGGTGTGCTGCAGCCTGGGGCCAGCAGGGAAGAGCAGCTAAGAGACTGGAAGTGTGTACAGCGGATCATGATGAGCACAGGCTGGGCAGAGACCGAGACTGGAAAAGCAGACAAGACGCCGGCTGCCGTGGGAGCCAATTGGGGTGGTCAGGCCTAGTGCTGGTCTTGTGTGACCACAGAGGGGTGATGCCCCAATATAGGAGGTTGCTCACACCGAGGGACTTCCAAGGCCCCGAGTCCAGTGGTAGCCCCACCCAGTGCTCTCCTGTTTCCCACACCAACAAGTATTTCACCCTCTTCTCTGTCACCGCTAAGTCAGGTGTCCTCAGCCATGGTTATCTCGAGCAGACGGAATTGTGTTTGGAACTGGCGTTTCACCACTGGCCAATATCCTTGTCTTTGGATTCAGTCAACACTGTAGTAGCCTGAAGTTCATGGCTGGAGGAATGAATTACTCTCTGACATGAGTACCTTAGTGACTAGTGGCGTCACTGCCAGCCCTTCCAAGCTTAAATGCAGACGTCCTCCAAGCAGAGCCTGCCGTGTGCAGAACGTGCACTCCCTGGATGGAAGACCTTCGGGCAGAGTGTAGCCATGTGCTCCCTGGACAGATTCCTCAGTCCCCAGAAAGCCCTGCACATTCTCCCTCTGCCTCCTCGTCCAGCACTAACTCCATCTTGTGAGAAAGCCAGCTACGTGCTCGTCTACGCTAGACCTTGAGCTGTAGGTCTTCCACAGTGGAAGACTCACAGTAGGGGCCAACTCGTACAAGGGGCCGTGCGCGCATGCTCCCTTTGAACACAGGTGGATTGGATCTCAGTGGAAGTAGCGACAGTTCAAGAAAAGAAGCTGTAGAGGAGGTGTTGGAGGCTGTTGGCGTGCCCGCCTACTGCACCAGCTGGAGCACTGCCTTGCTCTGTTCTGTGCCGACAGGGACCCCCTCCATGGAACCCACAGCCGTGCCAGCAGAGCACCCTTCTTGTCTTGTGCAATGTGGAGGGAGGCGTTTACTTGTTAAATGTTACAGGATGAGAGACCTCCCCACTCCTGGTGGCCCTGAGTAGGAAGTGCAGCCTAACTGGAAGTGGACGCGGTGAGCCTCTGACACCACCCCCTTCCTTTGCAGAGAGTCAAAAAGGACGTGGACAGGGGCACCCTGCACTCAGACATGTTCCTGCTGAAGTCTGAGGACGAAAAGGAAGGTACTGCACTGTGCAGAGTGCCCGTGACACTCAGTGTCTGCTTTGTGGCATTGCGGGTGGGGCCTCTGTCCTGGGGGCCAAGCGGTAAAAGCCCCCTGTCCATCATGGGGGAGCTGGGGCCGAGTGCCCTGGGCCACCAGTGGGGTGTGGCCGGAGAAGCAGCCCAGCTCAGCCCACATGTTGAGGTGCCTCAGTGCTTCCCTGTCCACACGCTTAGAGATGGCGGGGGTGTGCTCACCTGCCCGGGGGTGCTTGGATGGACCCCACGACACTGCTGGTGGCAGACAGGGCTAGTACTTGATGTTCTTTTTGTTGGACACTGAAAGGGTGGGGGATGATTACTCCGCAGGCAGTCGCCGTAGAAGCTGAGGGTCCCCCCAACAGGTGAAGACTGGGCACAAGGGGTTCTTGGCTACTAGGGGAAAGTCTGGCTTCAGAGCCTCGTCCAGTCACAGGCTACACTCAAAGCCCACATCAGAGGGTGTGCTCATGGCCTTCTCAGTGAGCGGCCCACCCCGAGGGACAGAGGTAGGCAAGAAAGCACACGCATTCCTGCTCTGCCCCATGGCCTCCAGGGTCTCACCCAGTCCATTGTGTCTGTGTTCCTGTTGAGAGCTCTGGTGGCATAGTGCCTAAGGCACTTGACTGCTAACCGGAAGGCTGGCGGTTCAAACCCATCGGCCACTCCTCGGAAGGAAGGTTGGGCAGTCTACTTCCATAGAGATACCGCCTTGGAAGCCCACGGAGGGGTTGCTATGACCTGTCACCTGGACACATTCCCACTCTGCCCCACTTCCTCCATGTTCTCACCCCAGTTTTGTGTTTTTCTGACAGGCAAATGGGTGTGGACGCGGATTCACCCTTCAGGAGTCAAGCCCACCCCGCGGTCTGGCTTTTCGGTGGCCATGGCCCCGAATCATCAGACGCTGCTCTTTGGCGGGGTGTGTGACGAGGAAGAAGAGGAGAGCCTGGAGGGTGACTTCCTCAATGACCTGTACTTCTACGACACCACCAGGAACCGCTGGTTCACAGGGCAACTCAGGGTAACACATCCCCCTCAGGAGGGTCTGTGCTGTCAGAGCTTGCAGGACCCCCAGGTCTGTGCGGTCTGCACAGCTTCCACACCCCTTACACCCCGGGGCTTCTGTTAGGTGAGGGGTCTGGGCCTTCAGACGCCTGGCACTCACAGAAGGCGCTCTTCTGTCTCTTGGGACAGTCTTACTCAGTGACAGACTCTGCCTGGCTTTGAAGGGGGCTGCCCTTCTTCCCACAGTGGTGGCCAGTGACAGCGTCCATGTGCTGCAGTGTGCGTACCACAGCTGGTTGTCCGTGGCCTTGTTGGTTGATTTGTTTGTTCTGTGATAGGCGTCCTTAGGGGTGGGTGTCGCGTGCTCCCTCCAGTCCCTCCGGAAGGGTGTGGGTGTCCCCAGGTGGGTCCCACGTGACAACAGTGCATGACGACCCACGTGTGTCCCGCCAGAGCTGGGCTCCAGAATCTTCCAAGGCATCTGCAGGAGGGCTTGAACCCCCATCTACTTGAGTGCCTTAACTTTGTACCGCTGGGAACCCTCCAGTCCATGAGTCGGGCTGTCTCCTCCAGCCCCTCAGTCCTGGGTGCCCGTGGGCCCCCCTGCACTGCGTACCTGCTGTGCCTGCTCAGAGTGCCTCTTCACTGGTGGTCGGCCCTCAGGCCCCTGCCAGATACCCACTGGCACAGCTCCACTGTGGTGCCCTTCACCAACAGGAACCCAAGTCTGAGAGGAAGAAGAGACGGCGAGGCAGAAAAGGAGAGCCCCGTGGTGGAGACGAGCTGGCAGGAGCCGAGCCCAGCCCCCAGGGGCCCCTGGAGGTGGTCCAAGAGGTGACCACCGAGGATGGGACCGTGATCACCATCAAGCAAGTGCTCCCTGCACCAGAGCCAGAGGGCAGGCCTTTGTCTGAGGACGAGCATGGTGTGGAAGAGGCTGGGACACCCGTGGTCATGCCCAGCCCCCGTTCTAACGCCATGTTGGCCGTGAAGCATGGGCTGCTCTATGTCTACGGGGGCATGTTTGAGGCGGGGGACCGCCAGTTCACCCTTGGTGACCTCTACTGCCTTGACCTGCAGAAGATGGCAGGCTGGAAAGCCCTGGTGGAGATGGACCCAGGTGAGTGGGTGGCCAGCGTGACTCCCATGTGAGCACTTGGACAGTCTGGCCATCAGCTGGCTGCCCCTACTGTTGTTTTATTATTTTTATTGGGATTTGGGTGAAAGTTTACAGATCAGATTCATTTTCCATACAGCAGTTCATACACATGTTGTCTCATGACATTGAGTGTAATTCCCCACAATGTAATGGCTCTCTTCCCACTTCCTCCCTGCAGTTACCTCTTCCCTGTGTCCTTCTTTCCTATGCATTCCCGCTTCCTGAGCTGTCTCCCTGTGCAAACACTGGCCTTCTGTTCTCCCATGATTGATTGCTCTTAGGAGTGTATCTACCTGATGGAAAGTTGACCCTATACCCCTGTCTGTTTGGCTGGAAGCCACAGGAGTGAGTTCAATTCCAGACCTGAGGGGTAACTATGGGCCGTAGTGTCAGGAGTCACCAGGCTCTATCAGACTAGTAAACCTGGTCTTTTTTTTTATTATTTTGAATTATTCCACATTGTTCTCCCATTCCAGGATCTCCTGTGTTGATCCCTTTCTGAGTGGTTTACAGTGGTATCTGGGCACCATCTACTTTTTCTAGTCTCATGGTCATATAGGCTGAGGATCGTGTGGTCTGCTAGTCCTTTGGACTAGTTGTTTCCATGCATCTTTGGTTTTCTTCGTTGGTCTTTGCTCTGGACGAGTAGAGACCCGTTGTTGCATCTAGATGGCCATTTGTAAGCATTGAAGACCCCAGTCGCTATTCAACGAAGTAGGATGTCAAGCGGTGTTTGTGTGTAGTATGTTATGCCAGTTGAGCTTGATGCCCCCTGTGACTGTGGTCCCGAGTCCAGAGGTCCAGCTACTCACTCCCTCAGGGTGTAGATGGCCGTGGCCAAGAAATTACCACAACTCTTAGGCCACTCTGCTCTGGCAGGGCTTTAGCCCTTCACACAGCTGTCCCTCGTCCGTGACATTACTGACCCACTGCGTCCTGTCACTGGGCACCTGTCAGCCCTTGCTGTGATCTGTGTGAGCCTCCGGTGTGTCTGGGTGCTTTGCACAGGTGAGTCACTGCACACAGCCTTCCTGAGAGTGAGTCTGCACGAAGCCCGGCCTGCCCTTCTCTGCATCAGAGAGCCTCTCGGGCAGGAGGTTCCCCACTCCCGCACTTGTTCGGCCCTCTGCTTTGGAACCTACGGGCCTGTTTGCTCTCTGATACAGACGCGTCTGTCTGCTTGATTGACCCATTCACACCGTACCATTCTGTGAAGGAACCTGAGTGCTGCTGGACCCAGTGCCTGCTTGTGTTACTAAGATCTGAGACTGAAAGCAAAGCGGCATCCACACACCCGCAGAGCTCCCAGGCTGCTGGTGGGGGATGAGTGACCTGTAACCGCAGCAGGCAAGGCGCTGAGTCTCCTGGGGCGTTCAGCGTCAGACCAGCTGTTCCCTGTGGAACGGGCTTTGCTGTTGGGTCCCTGCCAACCTCAGTCTCCACCCTACCCCTCAGGTCCAGGGCAACAAGCTGTTTTCTCTGAGGATCCCAACGTGCTGGGGGCAGGGATTGCACTGGCTTGTTTCTTCAAAGAGGAGACGGCAGGGACACGTGTGAGTGCCGTGACTTCCCGGCCTGTGCTGAGCAGCTCTGTTTGCTTCTGAAGATACGCAGGAGTGGTTGGAGGAGACAGACTCGGAGGAGGATGGAGACTCGGAGGAGGACGGACACGAGGAAGAGGAGGACACAGGAGAGCAGAGCAGCGAGGAGGGTGCAGGTAACTTAGGGTGAGGAGAGTACATGAAGCTCGCCATGCGAGGATGCGGGTACCTCACAGTGAGGGGCACGCAGGGAACGTGGGACACGGGAACTCGGGAAGACACAGGTAACTCACACAGCGCTCACAGCGAGGATCTGGGTACCTCTCAGTGAGGGGCATGCAGGAAACAGTGGGGACAGGAACTCAGGAAGACACAGGTAACTCACACAGCGCTCACGGTGAGGATGCGGGTACCTCTCAGTGAGATGCACGCAGGAAACGTGGGACACGGGAACTCGGGAAGACACAGGTAACTCACACAGTGCTCACAGTGAGGATGCGGGTACCTCTCAGTGAGATGCACGCAGGAAACAGTGGGGACAGGAACTCAAGAAGACACAGGTAACTCACATAGCGCTCACAGTGAGGATGCGGGTACCTCTCGGGCACGCAGGAAACAGTGGGACAGGGTAACTCGGGAAGACACAGGTAACTCACACAGCGCTCACAGCAAGGATGCGGGTACCTTGCAGTGAGGGGCACGCAGGGAACATGGGACACGGGAACTCGGGAAGACACAGGTAACTCACACGGCGCTCACAGTGAGGATGCGGGTACCTCTCAGGGGCACGCAGTAAACAGTGGGACAGGGTAACTCGGGAAGACACAGGTAACTCACAC